TAAAAAATGGAGGGAAATCATGTTGGTTTGATTGTCATCGGAGATGGTTACCTAGAACACACCCTTTTCGTCGTGATCGAAAAGGGTGTTAACTGGTCCACCACCTGAGGTAACCGGTGAAGTGATCTGGGAGTTCGTTCATCACCTTCCAACTGTTTATGAGGGTATCCCATATAGTTCAAAAAATAGAAAAATTAGCGGGTTCGGAACTAATCATAATTGGGTAAAGAAAAACATCTTTTGGGAGTTGTCATATTGGAAGACGTTGATCCGACACAACCTCGATGTCATGCATATTGAGAAGAACATTTTGAGAATCTCTTAACACCGTCATGGATACGTCAAAAAATAAAGACAATGTAAAGGTGAGAAGAGATGTAGAGGTTCATTGCGATCGACGGGATTTGCACATTGCCATGTCAGGCAACAAAGTAGTGAAACCAAAGTCATCGTACAGTTTGAGAAAATAACAAGTAAAACAAGTGTGTGCATGGTTGAAGAAGTTGAAGTTTCTAGACGGGTATGCTTCGAACATAGGAAGTTGTGTGAACCTAGAAGATTCTAGCTTTTATAGCTTCAAGAGTCATGATTTTCATGTGTTTATGCAACGATTGCTTCCTATTGCTTTACGAGGGATGATACCAACTTCGATATGGGATGCAATAACGGAGTTGTGTACATTCTTCCATGTGATATGTTCAAGGGTGTTACACATAGATGACTTGGTTCCATTGCAAACAAGTATTGTTCAAACAATTTGCAAGTTGGAAAAGGTCTTTCCGCCCGGATTATTTGATTCAATGGAACACCTCGTTATACATTTGACACTTGAAGCTATAAATGGTGGTCCGGTCCAATATAGGTGGATGTATTTGTATGATAGGTGAGTTCCTAATTTTATTGAAATCTAGTACACTATATTCATATAAAAAACTCTTCTTGTCCCTAACATGTATTTCATCTCTTAAACGATCAAACAAAGTAATAAAATCAATTACCACACAATCAAACAAAGATGACTTCAGAGTTTAGTTGAGCTAAGTCTGGAAAAGAAGACTATGGAGTTCGGGGAGAGATAAGTCTGAAAAAGAAGACTTCAGTGCTCTGTATAGGTAAGCCAAAAGCTCTGCATTTACTATGCAGAGGCACTTCATGGTGTTCCATCTGGAAAAAAAGACTTCCCGAATGTAATCAAAATAAACGATCAAACAAAGTAATAAAATCAATTACCACATGATCAAACAAAGAAGACTTCAGAGTTCGGGTGGGCTAAGTCTGGAAAGAAGACTTCAGAGTTCGGGTGGGCTAAGTCTGAAAAAGAAGACTTCAGAGCTCTGTATAGGCAAGCCAGAAGCTCTGCATGTACTATGTAAAGGCTTTGCATGGTGCTCCATTTGGAAAATAAGGCTTCCCAAATATAATCAAAATAAACATCCTGGACTTGAACCAGAGACCTCGCCCGTGAAGTAAATCATCGCACCTGGTCTGTTCCGATTCTGATAGGTGCGCCTCACAAATCAAACAAAGTAATAAAATCAATTACCACACGATCAAACAAAGAAGACTTCAGTGTTCGGGTGAGCTAAGTCTGGAAAAGAAGACTTCCCAAATGTTATCAAAATAAACGATCAAACAAAGTAATAAAATCAATTAGCTCATGATCATATCAGAGAAGAATTCAGAGTTCGAGTGAGCCAAGCCTAGAAAATAAGACTTCAGAGTTTGGGTGAGCTAAGTCTAAAAAAGAATACTTCAAAGTTAAGACTAGAAAAAAAGACTTCATAGTTCGGGTGAGCTAAGTCTGGAAAAGAAGACATTAGAGTTCAGGTGAGCTAAGTATGAAGAATGACTCTTCAAACTTATACTCTTGAAATAACTCCGAAGGAAAACTCTGAAGAATGACTATTCAGACTTGAATTTAGAAATAACTCTGAAGTATAACTCTGAAGAATTAGACTTCAGACTTGATTTTAGAAATGAAACTATATCAATAATTAGCATGAAGTTAACCCTAGAATAAAAATGAAGTTAGAAATGAAACTATATCAGTAAATTGAATTTAAACTTAGAAGTAAATCGTTTTTTTTTCTTCAGGAATCGGTTACCACACAGACTAATTAACCCAAGAATAAAATCAATTGCATCCTAAATTAGTGGTATTGATTGAATAAGAGGACATGTGTCAATCAAATGAGTCTAATTGAACTGTTAATGTAAATTGTGTTTAGACACGTGTTTAGACGGGAAAACACTAAAATCGACTCACCAAAAGATGACACATGTCACATTAGTTACTTATTTATTATAAGTATAAATATAATGGGCTTTTAGTTGTTAATTCCATTTTTTTAATCTGCCCCCACTCGAGTCCACTGAGCTTTTAGACCAACTCATTTTTTTAATCCATAAACCTAAAGTCCATAGTCCACTAAAGTCTAAAATTGTTTATTCTTCATCGCTACATGACCATATCGGCCGACAGACTTATGCGAGCAACTTATGAACAAAATTACAATCTCCAATCTCCATTATTGAAACTATAGACCTGTTGATCTATCCTCCCTCCCCGTATTGAACACTCTCGAGTGAGTCGAGTCTCGACCTCCAGCCTCTTGCGGTCTCACCCTCTCCAGTCTCCAATCTTCATGGAAGAGCAAAACGAAGAACCAAATCCAAATGCAAAGTGGAATCCATGTGATTTAACTTCATCTTCATCAAATAATCCGATTACAGCCCCTAAATCACAGGGGTTTTTTCATTCTATATTTCTATTCAAGTTTTAAGATGCTATTGTTTGATTAATGATTAGGTTCAAAATCTGTTTGATACTTTGATTGGGTTTAAAATGCTATCACTTGAGCCAATGAGCCTTTCAAGCGGTTTCATTTACAGGCCAGAATGAAAAGTTAGATTCCATTAACAGGGGGAATTTTCTTGAAATGTTGGAGGCACTTGGTGAGTTTAGCACCGAGCTTAATGAGTTATTTTGTTGGGCTCCCAGATATACATTATATACATTACCGTTGATTCAAAAGATAAATTTTGAATCTTATATAAAAAATCCTCTTGTGGCCACGGAGGTTCAAATGTGGTGACTCTGGGCTATCTGCAAAGCAGGTGGTCACCCTGTGATTAGTCGGCTCGCATAGCGGGTTGGATATCCAGGTTAATAGAAAAAAGATGAGACAAATGATTTGAGAGGAGATTGATGGTCGAAGGTTTTGTTTAATTGTTGACGAAGCACGAAATGAGTCCCATAAAGAGCAAATGTCTATTGTTTTGAGATTTGTTAATAAAGAGGGCGTCATTATGAAGCGTTTTTTTAGACTTGTTCATGTACGTGACACTACAACACAAATGCTCAAGTAAAATTGTGGAGGTCTTCAAGGCCGTGAAAGATCGACTGATTCCACTTTGATTAGCGATGTTTGACATTTTCATATTTGACGTCTAGTTTTAGAGTTTTACTATGTTTTAACTTTGGATAGTGTATTTTTTTGTATTTTTGAAAAGGGCAAAATACGTGAAATAGCAACCTAATTTTACAAATTTCTTTATTATAGCATTGTACTTTCAGTTTTCTTATTACAACAATGTACTTTCAAAATATTTTTTATTAGAGTACTGTACTTTCAAAAATTTACCCGTTATAGCATTGAGTATCCTTTTAAAATAAATTTACCCATTATACTAGGTTTCTTTGTTACCTCATCGTCCACGTAAGCTGTCCACATGTACAATAGTGCAGACTATGACATTTCTTATTATAACATTATACTTTCAAAATTACTTTATTATAACATCACTAATTTCTATTATAACATTTTACTTTGATTTTAATATTTCTATTACAACATTGTATTATAATAAGAAATGTCATGTTAGCACTATCATACATGTGAACAACCTAGGTGGACGATGAGGTGACAAAGAAACTTGGTATAATGGGTAATGTAATTTAAAATGTTACCCAATGTTGTAACGGATAAATATTTGAAAGTACGATGTCCTAATAAAATAATATATTGAAAATAATTGTTGTAATAAGAAAAACTGAAAGTACAATCCTATAATAAAGAAATTTGTAAAAGTATATTGCTATTTCGTGCATTTTACCCTTTTAAAAATATAAAATATATCAGGTTCGATCCCTACAATTGGAAAGCTTGTGCTCCGCCCTGGCCTTTCTAAAAAAAAAAAAAAACTACTTTTAGCCGAAGATTGATCTATGTAAAATACAATAAAGCCAAAGCCTTTTTTTGCATGTTTCAAACCTGGTTGATGATTCTATAATAAATTGGAATTTCATACATATGAATGTAATGGAATGCAAAAATTCAACTTTAATCTAAATTCAAGATTAAGTTATCTGGCCTTTTTATATATTCATACATAAAAGATGGAAGCATCAGAGACACAAGATGGGGTTTAGTAGAGAATAAGGATGCGGGTCAGAGGTGGATCTAAGATTTTATATTAATGATATCACAAAATAATTAATATAATATAAAATAATTATTAAAATAAAATAAAGATAAGTTATAAAACAAAATAAAAATCAATTGTATAATAAAATAAAAGTAAGAATTAAGAAAATACTGTCTTTTAGTTTATGTAACGGAAAATATACATTTAAACCGCATCCAAGTATACAGTCTAAAAACGTTTATTTAAATTTGTATAATATCGTTTGAAAAATATATACTTTTAGAAACGTATTTTAATATCATATCTAAAAGTATTACAATTTGTTATGTTTTTGGGTCTCCCGAATAAAGGTAAAAGACCTATCAGATACATATATAGAGGAGTGTTTGGGTTTTCATATTTTCACTGGGGGACCTGAATGTTAAATAAGGAAACTTTGGGGGGTTTAATGAAAAACATGAATTAAGTAAGGGGTTTTACTTGACTCTATCCATAAGGTAGAGGGTATTTGCGCAATTAATCGATGATATAAGCGCAAAACCCCTCAAATTAGGGCTTTAGATTAGAAGAAACCTCCGTCACACCTTCTTACCACCAGATCAGGTTACGGAATCAAATGGGCATTGATTTCTAGATTCAAATTGAAGAACCACGATGTCTTGTAAGAGTACTTGATGATTACTGTTTGTAATTCTTCCAGTTTTATGTTTTCGTGCATAATTGATTTGATTTTACCTCCGTTTTAACTCATAACCTGTATGAAAAGGTATAAATCGGAGAAAATCTGAAAAACTCTTGTCCTTTTGCAGAGTTATTTCCGGGTAGAGTGAACTTTGCTATGCTGATTCGTGGGATCAGTAATAGGTTTAGGAGATTTAAGATGATTTCTGAACTGCATTATGTGGTATGCTCACCAACTGTTTGTAAAAATGCTTGTACTGGAAATGGATTATCTTTGCTACCAGTCAAAAGCCGGAGCTTTTGCATATCAGAACCTACTATTCGGTTACAAACTGGTGTTGTTTATGCACATCAGTCACAAGCTAGTGTTAGTGGTAATCGAATTTCACGGGTAGTGAGAACAGAGGCACAAACTGCACTTTTCGATTATTTGCATTTTACCAGAGGTTTCCATTTCACTGATGCAGAGTACATTAGCAAGAACTCTCCCCATTTTGTTCAAAATTTGTTGTCCGTGGTTGATGAAGAAGAAGATGTATCACGAGCTTTGTCGAAGTACTTTCGCTACAATCCCATCAATGAGTTTGAACCTTTCTTAGAGAGTATGGGTCTGAATCCTTCAGAATTCCCATCATTACTTCCCAAATCATTGATATTTTTGGGAGATGATTCTCTTTTACTTGATAATTTCCATGTTCTTTGTGGTTATGGGTTTCCTAGAATTAAGATGGGCAAGATGTATAAGGAAGCAAAGGAGATATTTGGATATGACCATGGAGTATTATCTTCTAAACTTAAGGTGTATGAGCAATTAGGACTGAATAAATCAACAATAGTTAAACTGGTAACATGCTGCCCTTTACTCTTGATCGGACCTATTGATAGTAAGTTTCTTGCGGTTCTTGATAAACTGAAACAATTTGGGTTTGGAAACGAATGGATTGGTAGTTATCTATCTGAGAAAACCACTTTGAACTGGGACAGAATGTTAGATACTATGAGTTTTCTTGTACAAGTAGGATATGATGATAAACAGATGGAAGTTCTGTTCACGGATAACCCTGCACTACTGTTTGACGGTTCAGGGAAACAGATATACGTGTTGGTTGGTCAGTTATTGAAACTAGGGTTTAAAATGAACCAAATCTTTGACCTTTTCTTGAAAAATCCCCAAATTCTATCATCAAAGTGTGCAAAGAATCTTTGGACAGCAGTTTGTTTCTTGTTTGAGATAGGAATGGAAACAGAGAGAATTGCTAGCATAGTTGCTACCCATATGGAAGTTCTTGGTTCTAATTCTCTAAAAGGTCCAATTACCGTTATGAACAGTTTAAAAATACAACAAGATGATTTACGTCTAGCTATACAGAAAGATCCTCTGAAGTTAATCAATTTGGCTACTAAGTCAGATCCCAAAACAATCGAGCATCAAGATTCTAATACGTTCGTGGAAAGAAGAAACTTTTTGTTGAGATTGGGTTATATTGAAAACTCTGATGAGTTAGCAAAAGCCCTGAAAAAGTTCCGTGGCAGAGGAGACCAACTTCAAGAAAGATTTGATTGCTTAGTGGAATCCGGGCTTGATTACAACGTGGTTTCAAGTATGATCAAGCGAGCTCCTTCGGTGCTTAACCAGACAAAAGATCTTCTTGAAAAAAAGATCGATTGTTTGCAAAACCGATTAGGTTATCCATTGGAAGCAGTCATAGCATTTCCATCATATCTATGTTACGATATCCAGAGAATCAATCTCAGATTTTCGATGTACTTATGGCTACTAGAGAGAGGTGCAGCAAAGCCCAAGCTATCATTGAGCACCATTCTGGCATGTTCAGATGTAAGGTTTGTGAAATATTTTGTTGATGTTCATCCTGAAGGTGTTTCCACATGGGAAAGTCTGAAAAATTCATTAAATTCAAGATAATTTATGAAGACCTCTTTCTATTTACATTATTCATCCAGGTACAATCCAACTATATTTGCTTATTTTCTCTTAGATTATTGTACAATTTTTCCCTTTACTTCATTTCCCTTTGCCTAGCTACACATGTCCAAATGGTAACCTAGATTTCCTTAATTCAAATTTCTACACTTTGTGTATTCATTTAAGGGTGCTGCCTGCATTTTATTCTAGACCCTCTGTTAGACAGCGGATTGCTTTTCGTATGGGATATACCGAGTTTGTTTTTGTTATGGAATACAAATTAACGGATTTGTTGCTAGATATATCGGTTCGTTTGGTTTGGTTGGAAACCGCCATGTTATATTTTCATTATGCTTGTGACTTGGGAGAATGTGCAATAACTTGTATATTTGATCCATCTTTTTCACCAAACTAGTCATGTTTGGAAGGGAAAAAAAAATTGGAATTTGTGGAGTCACCTTATTTTTTCTTTTTTTCTAGTCAGATGGTGGGTTGTATCTCAACCGAAAAGTCGATATGTTTGTGCGTAGATTTGTGGCGTCAATTTGCGGAATTACTATCTAATTCTTGATATGTTTAAAAAACGACTATTTGATGGTTTTTGTTTTGCTAAAAAATGGTTCATTTTGTAGAGAACTCTACTTGTTCGTATTGAAGGTAACTCTTGGTCAGTTCAATGTTTACTTGGACTTGTTTTAGTGGTTAAACATTTTTGACACTATGCATTCGGTAAGACGACGTGATTCTTGTCTACGTATGATATGTTTCATTCGTAGAGTCTGATGTTTTTATACATTTGAACAAATATACTATAACTTTGTAAAGGAAAACGTTTTATAACGTAGTAAAAAAAGTATTTTTATAAACAAAATATTGTCTGACCAACCGACCCCTTTACCAAGACAACCAACAAATACATGTACCAGTCGTGATAATTTAATTGGTACCAATTGTAGTTAAACATGGTTAGTAGGTGGCATTTGAAGCCATGTGACACGGTATTATCGTATCATATTGCTATTTTTAAATTATTTAATGTATTATAATTTAACCAATAATTGTGTATTACAATATATTTGGAGTTTTAATTTTCTTATTTCTTATTTTTATGAGTAACGTAGTTATTTATGTTGTTCTGAGAGTTTATTCAACATAGTGAGCAAAGAACATTTTACTTTAATCTATACAGACAACTTATTACATGTATAAAAAGTTAATATATACAGTACTTCATGGAAAAACAACCAAACAACTCCTCAGTGCCCACAAACATCATATTTTTTTGGAAGGGTGTGACTGCAACAAATCAACCTTGAGAGATGCAGTGGTCACATTTATGTGTACACTTGGAACTGAACCGTGGACAGATGGTATATTCCATCACATCCCTCAGGACGTCAACTAATGCGTCGGAAGCCCTGTGGTTTTACCCACGAACATCATCACAGCCTCTCTTTCGTATTGCTAGGGATGCTTAACGCCACATCGCCAACTAAATTCATTCCTAATTACCCTAACATGAAACAGTTGAGAAACCTTTAAGTCGCTTACTAGTAACAAAATACTCAGTCTCACACATGAAACGTCGTTTCATGACTGCAACGTATCCTTCATCATCACCCTCGATCGTCTACACTCTACAACAGCTACTCGACCTTCAATCTTTTACACCACTACACAGCCCGTGAATCATAGGCATTGCCGACATATAGGTTTGAGTTTGAAAGTTCGGTTTTTGATTTCTTCTTTAGAATGCTTCTGAGTTTTTTTTTATTTTTTTCATAAATCAACAATGGATTTGGCAACATTTGTTTGAATTGTTTCTTACTTTCTTATTTAGTTTCGGGGCTATTTACCAAGCGCTTACCCGGTAAGCACTTATCGTCAAAGGTTACCATCCTCACTTACCTTATCGAGTTCTCGACCATCAAAATTGATTGTTGGTAAGTTTATTTTACCTGGTAAGTGCTTGCCAGGTAAGATTCTATGTACTTGTTATTTACACTCGATAAGATAAGTGACACCTTATAAATGGTTACCGTGTAAGCGTTTAATAAACGGCTCATTAGTTTCATGTTTAGTTATCTTAAAGTGGATTCAATTTTTGTTGTTGTGTTTTGACTATTGAATTATAAGTTTGTAACTTCAACATTTGTGATGTTAGTATATAATTATATACGGTAAATGAATTTGCATATCTTTTTTTATCTTTGTTGAGGTTTGATGTAACAACCCACAATTTGGACTAACATGTATTACATAATAACCACATCTGATATCCAAACGTTATATTGTTTACAAAATATAGGCTAACAAAAACTTTGTTTAATACATATAATGTATCTAAATATAGTTGCTTAAACCTTCCCCTTGCCTTTGTCTTGGGTTGTAAGATGACTTGCAAAACAGATTAGTCAAATAACTGAGCATTAGACCTAAAAGGTCTAGTAAGTGTCCAAAACAACTTTTTATTCCAAACTAGTAGTTTAGAAGCAAACTTGTACAGACATATGTACTTTATCTATATTCTATTATAGAATCTCTTTTCTCGCGGTTACACCGCCATTACATATCTTTCGCGGTTACACCGCCATTACATTTCCCTCGCGGTTATACCGCCATTACATCTCTCTACTGTCCGGATATGAAATCCGGACGATTACTTAGAACCAAAAGAGGTAATCCGGATATTTCTTTGAGCAGTTTAAGATTACCCCGATTGACACTTAGGCGGTTTAGGTTTACACCAGTTGATACTTGAGCGATTTAGCCATTAACCCGGACAACCCTTGACCGGTTTAAGAAGTAAACCGGATGACACTTGACCGGTTTAGAAAATACATCGGGTGTCTTTGGGCGGTTTAAGATGAACCCAGACACCCTTTGTCCGGTTTAGGTTGTATCCGGACAACATATGTGATTCATAAAAACAGTTCCAATAGCTATTGAATTGTATACAGACAATTGAATAATACCCAAAACATAATACACCCACCTTTGAATGTTGACCGAATTAAAGCCTGCGATTTACCTTCACAGTCTTCACTCTCAAATGTTTTTGCTCTCAATCAAAGAAAATCCAACCCTTTTCCTTTCATATGCACTTGCTATATATAGCAAGTGCATAGCTGCCTTTCCTTAAAAACAATTTACACTCACACATCACTATTATACATTCACATCTAAATATATGCATATAAACATATTTCTAATTCTTAAATCAAAAATAATAACCCGAATATTACAATATTCCCTCCTTAAAAAGAATTTCGTCCCAGAATTCGATTAAGTAAACAAGTAAGGATATTTCATCTGCATTTATGTTTCCGATTCCCAGGTGGCGTCTGGTCCTTTATGATATTGCCACTGAACCTTTACTAACCCAGTCTCTTTATTTCGTAGTTTCTTCACTTTGAAGTCAGCAATGAGTTCAGGGGTTTCTTCAAAGCACAATCTTTCATCAATCTTAATTTCAGGTAGAGGCACCGCTACATCTGGATTTATTAGATACTTCCTCAAATTTAGACACATGGAAAGTATCATGATTTCCACTTAACTCCAAAGGAAGTTCTAATTTGTAGGCCACTTCCCCAACCTTTCCAATAATAGGGAATGGTCCAATATACCTCGGACTTAACTTCCCCTTTTTACCAAAACGTACCATTCCTTTCCAATGTGATACCTTTAACATCACTTTATCACCTTCTTGGAATTCAATCGGCTTCCGACGTTTATCTGCATAACTTCTTTGCCTATCTTGTGCCACTTTCATACGTTCCCTTATTAGGAAAATCTTGTCCGCTGTTTGCTAAACTAGCTCCGGTCCAGCTAACTGTTTTCGCCTATTTCATTCCAACACAAAAGGAGTTCGACATTTTCGTCCATACAGAACCTCAAAAGGTGCAACTTGAATACTTGAATGGTAGCTATTGTTGTAAGCGAACTCCAACAGAGTCAAATGACTCTCCCATGATCCTCCAAAATCAATAATACAAGCTCTAAGCATATCTTCCAATGTTTGGATAGTTCGTTCACTTTGCCCATCGGTTTGGGGGTGATAAGATGAATTTAACCTAATCTGGGAACCCATCTCTCTTTGGAAGCTCTTCCAAAACATAGAAGTGAATCGGCTATCTCTATCTGAAACAATTGATAAAAGAATACCATGACGTGTCACTACCTCATCAATGTGTAGTTTTGCCAACCTCTCCATTGAATATGATTCTTTCATCGATAAGAAATGTGCAGATTTGGATAACCGATCCACTATTACCTATATAGCATCATAACCTTTTGATGTCCTCGGCAGTTTGGTTATGAAATCCATAGTGATGTGATCCCACTTCCAAACTGGAATTTCTAAGGATTGCAACTTACCATAAGGACGTTGGTGTTCTATCTTTACCTGAAGACATGTCAGGCATTGTTCAACATGTTTAGCTATATCCTTCTTCATACTTGGCCACCAATAATGTTGCTTCAAATCCCAGTACATTTTATTAGTACCTGGATGAATTGCAAAACGTGATCTGTGAGCCTCACTCAAAATACGTTTCCTGAGACCACCATAACATGGTACCCAAATTCTGTTATGAAACTTCCAAAACTCTCTGCCATCTTTTACAAATTCAGATATTAATCCACCCAATCTTTCTTGTTTAATCTTATCTTCCTTCATAGCCTCATGTTGAAATTCTTGCAGTTCTTCTTGAGTACTTGGTAGTAACTCGACTCGTAAAGCTACAGCCTTGATAGTCCCATTTTTCTCTTGTCGGCTTAAAGCATCAGCCCCTACGTTTGCCTTTCCTGGGTGATACAAAATTTCACAATCATAATCACCAACCAATTCCAACCATCGTCTCTGACGCATATTTAGATCTTTCTGATGGAACATATGTTGTAAGCTCTTATGATCTGTGAAAATTTGACATTTCGTTTCGTATAGGTAGTGCCTCCATATCTTCAAAGCGAATACTACAGCTGCTAATTCCATATCATGTGTAGGATACTGTCTTTCATGATCTTTTAACTGTCTTGAAGCATAAGTAATTACCCTTCCATGTTGCATCAGTACACAACCCAAACCCATCTTTGACGCATCACAATAAACCACAAAATCTTCCATCCCATCTGGCAAGGATAGAATTGGTGCACTACATAACTTATCTTTTAACGTCTGAAAGGCCTGAGCGTGTACTTCATCCCACTCATATTTTACATTCTTC